GTTGTTGCTGTCGCACACCCACACACGCTGCGTCGTCAGGTCGCACGCCACGCCACTTGGCTCGTCGAACATGGCCTCTCTCAACGGCCCATCCGCATAGCCCCTCTCGCCGCTCCCGGCCACCAGCGACACGCCCACAGAGGGGAAGTTGGCGGAGACTTTCTTGATGCGGTGGTTGAGCGTGTCGGCGAGATAAAACTGCCGTGTGTCGATTTTGCAGAGGAAGGAGGGCCCCTGGAAGTCGCCGAAGAGGCCGGTGCTGTCACCGAAATACGACAGGTCAGATCGGAACAGCGGGTCCCCGCCGAATGCCGTCGAGACGGAGTTGTCGAGCAGCGTGACGCGGCGGATTGACGAGGACTCGCTGTCGACGGCATAGAGCTCGCCGCCCACTGTGCCGGCGATCCCCACCGGCTGGGCGAAGCGCACCTTGTCGCTCAGGTGGTACTCCTCCTCCCCTCCCCGCCAGATGTCCTCCCGGCCCTTCTTGCCCCCACCGAATGCAGGGTAAAGGCTCTCCGTGGACGGGTCGACCTTCCATATCTGGTTGGAGCCGCTCGCAGTCACGTACACGAAGTTGTCGAGGGTCGTGACGCCCATCGGTGCACGGAACTGCCGATTCTGCCCGATGAGTTTGGTGCGCGAGACCTTCTCCCCCGCCGCAGCCACGTTGGCCGACAGAGTGGCCTGTAGGTCCTCCACAACAGCTCCTGGATCAAACAGATTCGCCAGATTCGGCTTGCTGTTGCTCCGCTCGTCGGGCTTTTTCTCTGGCAGAATGATCCGTGGTTTGCTGTTGTCAGCGGCGAGGTCGATCAGCTGCAGACACCCATTGCCCGTGTCGGCAACCCAGAGGGCGTTCCTCAGCCGATCGTAGGCCAGGCCAGTGGGAGAGTGGAAGCCATCGATCGACCTGATGAACTGGCCATCCAGGTCAGTGACAATGACGCGATGGTGACCGGAGTCGGCGATAAAGAGGCGGTTGCTCTTGGTGTCGACAGCAACGCCCATGGGGAAGAACAGCGGCTGGTTGGTGGATGGCAGGCTGACTGGCGGGGAAGAGAGGCCGTTGACGCCGAAGATGGGCGCGAATTCCCGCCGTCTGTCGGTCTTCTTGCCTCGAATGGCATCGATGAGCCTCTCCGTACACATTGAGACGAACTGGGTGGCCCCCGCCCGCTCGCCGGCGTTAACAGCCACGATCGCCCCCTCTGCGTTGGCAATGGCGACTGTCGGCCATGTGTCGACACCAATGTGTTTCCAGAGTGACAGGTCGCCGTCAAACACCACCGAATGCCTCGACGGGTCGGTCTCTCGCGTGCCGATGGCCGCTTGCGCCTTCAACAGGGACGCCTTGGCTGCCTGCGGGTTTTGCTCACCGCTGAATTTAGGCGACACGATCGTCACGACATGGACGTCATCGCCGAGCCGCTCCGCCAGGCTGCTGACCACCCCAAAGGAGCCAATGCAGTCGACACACGAGGGCCGGAAGAAGTGAAACACCAACACCCGCTTCGCGTCCTCGGCAGCCCGTCTGAGCATCGCTGGCTTTCCTCTCAGCCACTTGAGCTGCTCGGACTCATAGATGAGGGAGGGGGGGAGCGCCGGCAAGCCACTGAAGCCACTTGCCACGGCAGTGCTGACCACTTTGTCGATGTCGCTCTCAGTGAAGTATCGACGCTGAGTGCGCGAGTCGAGTGGGCGGGTCCATGCGGCAGGAGAGAGGAACCGGCCGGTCAGTGGCCACCGCCTTGCTGCGCCGTAGCCGACGAGGCCGAGCGAGGCCGCTGTGGCGCCGAGGATGGCGTTGCGTCGTGTGGCGTAGCGGTCGACAAGCTTCTCGAGCTGGGACTTCTGGGTCTCCTGCCAATACCCAGTCAGACGCTGATTCTGCACACATGACAGAGAGAGAACAGCCATCACGTTTGTGTGTCAACGTGTTGTGTGAGTCCCATCGTCTCACCTGGAAGTAATACGCCTTCCAGTCGTCAATAGACACATCTGCGGGTATCTTGAACCGCTCCCGCAGGAACCTCTCACTCGGGTCGACCTTCTCTTCTTTCCGCTTCATGTACTCATCGAATGACCTGCCATCGCGGCTGCTGTCGGGCGGCGGCTTGTCGTCCGCATCCGGCGGCCCGTCGACGGGCGGGGATGCAGAAAGATGAGACCAGCGCTGACGATGCCGCCTGCTGCCTCTTGCATCGGCATCAGCTTCATTTGTTGACAGAATCGGCCTGTTCAGACTGACGAACGCATCTCCTTTTGCTGATAGCGCCCTGCACGAGATGAGGCTGACTGAGAGAAGCACCAGCAGCATCACCATCATACTGCAACACGCCGCATGGAACGGATCTGTATGTTGGTAGCCTCTCTCTCCTCTGCGCAACAGCCGCTGGGATCTCGGCTCGCCTTCTCTAAGCTCGCAAACCCAGCGAAGCTTCCTCCCTCTCCTCCATCATTTTCGGATCCCGTGGGTCAGGAAAGGCCTCAGACAGCCGACACTGGCCCAGAGCTCGGCAGAAAATCCATTCTTTGTGTGTCTGCTCGTGTGCTGTCGATGCTCAGGCAAGGAGGCAAGCTGACGTAAACAAGCGCCTCAAAGGAGGTCACAGGGAAACGACGGATGACATGTAGAACAGACAAAGTCATCGATGCAGTGATGGGATCTCTCTGTCCTCCCTCACGCTCTGTCCTCTGGGTGTGTATGCAGTCACATCATCAGCAGCCTCTTGTCGCAGTGAGTGATCGGCTGGTTGGTCTCTTTTGGGGCCGCAACACCGGGTGGTTGTGGCGCTTCTGCCGCCCGGCCAAAGGGCAGCAGATGGCCATCCGTCCGGAGCACTACGGCGACATCAGACTGGCGGCCGACATCAAAGACGACCTCAGACAGCTCACGTAGGCCTCACCACAAGCAGGATGGGGCCAACACACACAAATGGCTGAATCGTGAAAGTATGTTTTCTCGTTGCCAGTGTGGGTGTGACCAATGGCGACGGCGCCACACTGTCAGCAGGAGGAGGGCTCGTCGTCAGCAGCCAGCAGCAGCGACGCCACGTTCATTCGCTACCCATCCGGTGCCCGCCATCGAGTGGTGCAGGAGGGCACCGGCAGGACGCCCACACTCAACGACACCGTCAAAATCGACTGGGTTGTGTGGTGTGATGCATTCGTGGGCCAGGACACAGCACTCGATTTCCTTGGGGCGGTGTTCAGTGTGTCTGATCTGAATGAGTGGGAGCGTGAAGCATTGATGTCGATGAGAGAGGGGGAGGTGAGGCAGATCAAAGTGCCCGACTTGTATGATCCCCCCTACGTTCAGCTGCGTTTGATCAGCATAGAGTAGGAGAGAGTGCACACACACACAAATGAGTGGGGGCGGCTGTGTGTGTCACACATTGATGTGTGTGGCCGGGGGCTCTTCACTCATTGCCTGGCTGACTGTGCGCTTTGGTTTTGAGGGAAGGAGGAAATGTGCTGTCTGTGTGATTGGCCACTCATGGTGTCGGTGTGCTGTAAGGGATTGTTGATGGTGTGTGGTCTGTATGGTGGGAGGGGAAGGAGGCCATTAAGTGAGCGTCTGTCTGTCTATGAGGGGGTTGTTGTCGTGTGTCTTCGTTTCTCTCACATGCATATGTATAGTTCTGTCGATCGGCTGCAATGAACCAACCGTAATCTCCCTTCAGGCGCTTGTGCGCGAACGATGCTTGTTTCTACCAGCTTGCCTCCCTGCCCGAATGAGTTTTCGCTGGGATCTGAGTCAGTGTCGGCTGTCTGAGGCCTTTCCTGACGTTAGCAGCGTCCAACTTTGCAAGCTTAGAAAGGCGAAACTTCCAGCAGGAATAGCGTACCCTTATTCCTTCCTTCGAATTCTCCTCTTTCCGGTCATTTCTGATGTCGATAGTGTCACTGGCAGTGGGGTGAGCGACAGACACTCATCACCCCGTGGAAGCCTCCTCCCTTGTATTTGAAATTTTTTAAAATTACTCCCCTTTTTTGTTTTTATTTGCAATTGTTTAAAATTACTCCTTCGATTTTTTGCGGGGTTTGGGTCGTTTTAAAATGGAGATGGCTGGTTTGGAGGTGGTGAAGTGAAGAGGGTTTAAACGTGTTTTCAATGGCTGAAACAAGCCTCGAAATACCTAAAACAAGCCTCTAAATAACATTTCCGCCCCCCCCTCCCCCGGTCATCGCCTAAAGTTCTTAGAATTTCTCCTCATTTGTTTTAAATATTTTTCGCCTACTTGCCGATTTCTAAATATTTTTCGGCACATTTGGGACGTTTTAAGAAATGCCCGATCAGGGGAGGAGGCTTCCACGGGGTGACACTCATATATAGGTGGATCCTTGACTCCCGTATCCGTTGCTGCAGATCTCGCGTGAGGTTGCACTTTCCCCCGTGTTTTGTGTGTTTGCGCTCTGTGGGTACCAACGGGGATCCTCAATCGCTCGAATGCGGTTAGTGGGGGCTGGGTGGGAGGATGGGTGTCACCAATCTGTCTGTCTGTGTCTACCAGGTCACTCGGGCTGCAGGGAGGTACGCACAGACTGCTTTTCTCCTTTGTGAGCAAGTGTCTCATGTCGTGTGGTTGCTGCGTACAGTGTGTTCGGGAGCTCATTCGCAACCATCCTCATGACCGCCGCGCAGCTGTCTGTGGATTGTGCAGGCAAGCCACCCTTGGCTCTCTCCTCTCATGTGTGTATTTTTTGGGCTGTCAATCAGGCGCGAGACTGCAGAGGCTGATGTGCGCACCATTTACGACCTCCGCGACATCCGCAGCAGGTGCGGACGGCCACTGCGGCAGCACCTGCACCAACCAACACGGCACACGCGGCACCACCTGCTGTCCCTCCGAGTGGCCAACAACAAGCACCCCTCACGGCTCGCCAGCGGCAGGAGGCGGACGACTATGCCTTAGCGCTGCGCCTGTCCTACGGAATCAATGCTGGTGGAAACAACATGACACCCCCGGCACCTCCTGGTGTCTCTCCGAGCTTCCAGCAAGCACTTGTGGCGACCAGCCACAGGTTGGCGACCAGACAGGATTGGTTCATTGATGTATTCGCTCAAGTTTTGGTATTGTGTTTCCATGTGGCTGCGTGTCAGTGTGGCTATCGGCAGCGGTGTTGAGGCACTACCTGTTGATGCTGACGGCTTCACTGTGATGCCATCTGGTGTGCGACATCGCATCGTCACGTACTCTAGGGGCAGAGTGCCCACACTCAACCGTCGCGTCAAGTTCGACTACGTTGGCTGGTATGACGCATTCAACGGCCGGGACAAATGCTTTGGTCGCGCTGGGTGGGTGAGTCGTGTGTCTGACTGGGGTGGGTGGTTCCGTGAGGCGCTCCTGTCGATGCGTGTGGGGGAGGTCAGACGAATCATAGCTCCAGCCGAGTTTTCAGCCCCCTACACTCAAGTGCCTTTGGTCAGCATCTTAGAGTAGGAGAGAGTGCACACACAGCGTGGGGGCGGCTGTGTCTGCCACAGATTCAAGGGAGGGGAACTCCTCCCTCGTCGCACTGTGTGCCTCCGATTTGAGCGAAGGAGGAAATGTGTCGTCCGTCTGATTTTGCCACTCGTAGTGTCTGTGTGATGTAGGAGGGGGGGGGGGGGGGG